GCCTTACCACTAATGCTCAGGGCTCTCCCTTACCGGCCCAGGGATTCCTTTCCTTCCTTTCTTGTTTTGGATTCTGTTTCAGCAATTCAGTGTCTCCCGTTTTCTGATTTCACTCTGTGAAAGTATCCTATAACAGGTGTCCCCAAACTACGGCCACTGGCCGCATGTGGCCCCCTAAGGCCATTTATCTGGCCCCCCACCGCACTTCAGGAAGGGGCACCTCTTTCATTGGTGGTCAGTGAGAGGAGCACAGTATGTGGCGGCCCTCCAACGGTCTGTGGGACAGTGAACTGGCCCCCTGTGTAAAAAGTTTGGGGATGCCTGCGTAGATACTGTGAGAAAGGGCAGGCAGGAGGTGCATTTTTAAAAAATTATAGGCTATTGGCTGGGCCTAGTGGCTCACGTCTGTAATCCCAGCACTTTGGGAGTCCATGGCAGGCGGATCATGGGGTTGGGAGATCGAGACCATCCTGGCTAATCCCATCTCTACTAAAAATACAAAAAAATATTAGCCGGGCCTGGTGGCATGCGCCAGTGGTCCCAGCTATTAGGAAGGCTGAGGCAGGGAATTGCTTGGATCCAGGAGGCGGAGGTTGTGGTGAGCTGAGATCGTGCCACTGCACTCCAGCCTGGGCGACAGTAAGACTTTGTTTCAAAAAACAAAAATTAAAAAAAAAAAATTGCCAGACATGGTGGCTCATGCCTGTAATCCTAACACTTTGGGAGGCCAAGGTGGGTGGATCACCTGAGGTCAAGAGTTCGATATCAGCCTGGCCAACATGGTGAAATCTCATCTCTCTTTTTTTTTTTTTTGAGACGGAGTTTTGCTCTCCTTACCCAGGCTGGAGTGCAATGGCGTGATCTCAGCTCACTGTAACCTCCGCCTCCTGGGTTCAGGCAATTCTCCTGCCTCAGCCTCCTGAGTAGCTGGGATTACAGGCATGCGCCACCATGCCCAGCTAATTTTTTGTATTTTTAGTAGAGACGGGGTTTCACCATGTTGACCAGGATGGTCTCGATCTCTTGACCTTGTGATCCACCTGCCTCGGCCTCCCAGAGTGCTGGGATTACAGGCTTGAGTCACCACGCCCGGCCAACCTCATCTCTTAAAAAAAAAAAACTAAAATAAAAAAATCGTAGGCTATTAATCTAACAATTGTTTTAGTTAAGTATAGAATTCTAAATTAAAGTAATTCTCCTTTAGATTCGTCTTATTTCAATGATGCTAAATGACTAAGTCTATTTTCCTGTGTTGTCTACTTGTGATTCAACCTGGAACTATCTTGCAGGTCTTGGTAATTTTTGGAATTATTTCAATATTCCATCTTCTCTACTTGTTCTGTTCACTCTTTTTGAAATTCATGATTTGGATATATGAGTTGGGTAGATTTCTAATGTTCTGTTTTTCTTGCCAGAGGTATTAACAATGCTACATTTTTGGGCCGGGCGCGGTGGCTCAAGCCTGTAATCCCAGCACTTTGGGAGGCCGAGGTGGGTGGATCACGAGGTCAAGAGATCGAGACCATCCTGGTCAACATGGTGAAACCCCGTCTCTACTAAAAATACAAAAAATTAGCGGGGCATGGTGGCGCGTGCCTGTAATCCCAGCTAATCAGGAGGCTGAGGCAGGAGAATTGCCTGAACCCAGGAGTCGGAGGTTGCGGTGAGCCGAGATCGCGCCATTGCACTCCAGCCTGGGTAACAAGAGCGAAACTCCGTCTCAAAAAAAGAAAAAAGAAAAAACAAACAAACAAACAAAAAAAACAATGCTACATTTTTGGTAGTTTTCTTTGCCCTGAAAAGCTACTATTAATTCCGATTTCTGTTTATTTCAGTCTCCAATAGTAGAGGCCTACCTCCAGAGAGTGGTCACCCTTAATTGTGCACACACGCCACTAAAAAGCTGCCTGGAAGCCCTGTGACAGTGGATGAGGTCCATCTGCTGTGGGCCTAACTAGATGCAGTTTTCCCAAACTTGCCTGCTTACTGAACTTGTTCAACATATATATTCAGATTTTTTTTTTTTTTTTTTTTTGAGATAGGGTCTTGCTCTATTGCCCAGGCTGAAATGCAGTGGCACAGTATCAGCTCACTGTAAGTTCTGCCTCCTGGGCTCAAGCTATCCTCCCACCTCCGTCTCCCATGTAGCTGGGACTAGAGGCACATACCACCACACTCAGCATATTTTCCTATTTTTTGTAGAGATGGGGTTTCACTATATTGCCCAGGCTGTTCTCGAACTCCTGAATTTAAGCAATCTGCCAGCCTCTGCCTCTCAAAGTGCTGGGATAACAGGCGTCAGCCACCACAGCCAGACTATATTCAGATTTTGAGCCTCAGAATCATGATGTCCAGAGAATGAGGCTGACTCTCATTCTGAGGAAAAATTGATAGCCAAATAAGTATTTTTTCCCTATTCAAAAATTTTCGGCTGGGTATGGTGGCTCATGCCTATAATCCCAGAACTTTGGGAAGCAGAAGTGGGTAGATCACTTGAAGCCAGGAGTTTGAGACCAGCCTGGGCAACACAGCAAAACCCTGTCTCTACAAATAATACAAAAATTAGCTAGGCGTGGTAGCTTACATGCCTGTAATCCCAACTACTCATGAGTGTGAGGCACGAGAATTGTTCGAACCCAGGAGGCAAAGGCTGCCTCTGGGTTCAAAGAGACCATGCCACTGCACTCCATCCTGGACGACAGAGTGAAACCTCGTATCAGGAAAAAAAAGTAATACAGAAATTAGCTGAGCATTGTGGCATGTGCCTGTAATCCTAGCTTCTCAGGAGGCTGAGGCAGGAGAACTGCTTGAACCCGGGAGGGAGAGGAAACAGTGAGCTGAGATTGTACCACTGTGCTCTAGGTGACAGAGCATGACTCGGTCTCAAAATAAATAAATAAATAAATAAATAAATAAATAAATAAATTTTTTTACTTGCAAAATATTACATGGCTGACAAGTTCATAAAATATTAACATGCAATTTAATGAAAACATTAATATACAATTTAATATCATAAGCCCCAGTTCAGGAAAGAGAACAGTACCAGCAACCACAAATCCCTAAGAGGTAAGTAATGGCAAGCCATAGAAATATTTAAATAATGCTAGCCAGACTGACAATCCTGTCCTAAGAATAATCCAAAGACATAGCTAGAACTCACTAACCCTGCACCTTCCACCCACACAGCCAGAGGAAACTCTTCTCCTGATCTCTGTGTTAAGCATTTTCTTCTTTTCCTTATGGTTTTTGCACTTATTTATGCATCCTTTAATAAACACCTAAATACATTCCTTGCTGTCTGAGCAAAATCTGTTCATGAAAACACTGTGAATCATAAATTTTCAGGTAGGGGAACCTACAGTGCATTAATTTAAATGGGAAAAGTAATAATGCCATCCAAAGCCTCTCTCATCAATTTCTCTCTAAATCACCAAACCACTTTACTTAAATAACTATCCACACCATGGATTTCTGCATAACCCAAGAATTTCAATTATTTATATAATTTTTTTGTTGACAACAGAGTCTCGCTCTGTTGCCTCGGCTGGAGTGCAGTGGTGTGATCTCGGCTTACTGCAACCTCTACCTATCTCCCAGGTTTGAGCAATTCTTGTGCCTCAGCCTCCCGAGTAGCTGGGAGTACAGGCATGTGCTACCATGTATTTTGTATTTTTAACAGAGACAGGGGTTTTGCCATGTTGGCCAGGCTGGTCTTGAACTCCTGGCCTCAAGTGGTCCACCTACCTCAGCCTCCCAAAATGATGGGATTACAGGCACGAGACACTGCGCCCAGCGAACACAAGACTTTTTTTTTCTTTTTTTTTGAGACGGAGTCTTGCTCTGTTGCCCAGGCTGGAGTTCAGTGGTGCAATTTTGGTTCACTGCAGCTGCCGCTCCCTCAGGTTCCAGTGATTCTCCTGCCTCAGCCTCCTGGGTAGCTAGGATTACAGGTGCCTGCCATCATGCCCGGCTAATTTTTGTATTTTTAGTAGATACGGGGTTTCGCCATGTTGGCCAGGCTGGTTTCAAACTCCTGACCTCAGGTGATCTGCCTACCTTGGCGTCCCAAAGTGCTGAGTTTTCCTTACAGTCTTTGAGACATTAATAGCTGCCTTTAATGGAACATGTTAGGTCTGTCGTAAGAGACTCATTCTCTGTGGTGAACATTTGGGAACTCGGAGTAGGTGGGAAAAGAGTCTGATCACAGATGGCCTGTCACTCAGCTGTGCCTTTGGATAGGGTACCTTCTCAGTTATTGGGTGAGTGTGCTGGAACATTTTGAGAGGAATAACTGAGGCTTGCTAGATGTACTCTGGATTGCTTCTGCTTCAGACTTGGAAAGGCAAGAGGGGACAACCCAGCGTAGTACAGTAAACCCTTTTGTAGGAGGCCACGAGGCCATGGTAGACTGAGTGGTATTTTCCTGGACAGTGGGCTGGGGACAGGAGGAGGGAAGGTGCATAAACACTGTTAGGGCTACTGTGAGAAATAAAAGTGATGACACAAGAGTGCCTAGTATATCTGATACCCAGGCCGAATTTGACAACCAAACATTCTTTGACCAGTACCTAGCACACATATATGTAGAGACAGTTAAAGACAGAACCAAATCACAAATACTCTCCATGAAGAAGAATTACCATTTTTTGAACATTCCAGGTACCAGGCTGGGCACAGTGGCTCAGGCCTATAATCCTGGCACTCTGGGAGGCTGAGGCAGGAGGATCGCTTGAGGCCAGGAGTCCAAGGCCAGCCTGGGCAAAACAGCAAGACTCTGTCTCTACAAAACAAACACCCCCCACCACAACCACCACACACCAAAACATGCCAGGGGCTTCATATGTTTTCTCATTTACTCTTCATAAACCTGAGTCTCCCTAAATCCACAACTGAGTACCACCTTCCTTTAAAGTAAAGTAGAAAAAGACTTCCGTGACATATTGGTGGGCTCTAAAGGCTGACATTTATTCTGGGTTCCCTGCAGACTCTCCCCTTACCATTGTTGAGAGAATCTGCACTCCCAGGGCTATGTTGCCTGGAGACCAACTCAGTCCCCGTTTTCCTCAGCTCTGTGTTTTCATTGTACCGTCTTTTCCAGTAGTTGAGTTCTTCACGATCTGATTCCTGACAGCGCCGCAGAACGGCCATGGAGCGCCTTGTTTTCTCTACCATTTCCATAATGCAATTCAGTGCCTGAGTCAGAAAGGAGGGCAGGCAGAGATGAGATGAAAGCATTCAAACAACCAACAGTGAAAATCAAGGACAGGCCAACCCAATATAAGGAATTCAGGTTTCTGATAGGTTTAGGAATATCAAGTTCACATTTGAAACCTGTTATTGCTGTCTGTTTCTCCATCAGCAGGAAGGACACTGGTGTTGAGGCTGACATGCCTATAGTGGACAATAACTGCCAGGGCTTCCAGTGTTTGGACAAAACCTGAGATGCATGGCCTTCTGACCAACTGTCTATGATGATTTCATGTTGTTGCAGCATTTGTTGTATCCCTGGGGGCTGCCGCTCTCTGTAAGTTTGCTGTGGCTGAACCATAAAATAAGGCATACACAGATTTCTATAGAAATTATAAATTTTGATGAGATAAGGAAGGCTGGTATCTTTCAGAGTACAAAATAATTTTGGAATATAAACAATGTTGGGGGATTGAATTACCTAGATGTTTGTTACTAACCTGTGTCAGAAAACTAGGAAACATGAATATGTGGGCTAAAAAACAATTCTCTTTACTACAGAAGGAGCAGAATTGAAAAAATTAAAAAGAAAGTTTCTTTCGATAAACAGTTAACAAATGCAAAATAAATCCCATCTTGCTACGTTGCCTAGACTAGACTTGAAGTCTTGGACACTGGGCTTAAGAGATCCTCCTGCCTTAGCTTCCCGAGTAGCTGGGACTTCAGGCATGTGCCAGTACGCCTGGCTACAGACCTTTGTTTTTAACCCTTATATATTACATGACTTTATTTGGTTTCTGACCTGAAGTGATCATCCCATCATAAAGATATGGGAGTGACTCTGTAATTCCTTAGCTGGGGAAGTACTAGCTAAACCAGCTTTTATTAAAAGCAAAGGATGTCATGGCTATGGTTATGTTCACTTCAAGCATGCATGTTACATTAATTATTGGTAGCATTAAGAAACAAAAGTAGGCTGGGTGCAGTTACTCACACCTATAATCCCAGCACTTTGGGAGGCTGAGGGTGGGCAGATCGTTTGAGGTCAGGAGTTTTGAGACCAGCCTGGCCAACATGGTGAAACCCCATCTCTACTAAAAATACAAAAATTAGCTGGGCATGGTGGCATACACCTATAATCCCAGCTACTCTGGAGGCTGAGGCAGAATTGCTTGAACCTGGAAGGCGGATGTTGCAGTGAGCCAAGATCGTACCACTGCACTCCATCCTGGGTGACAGAGAGAAACTCCATCTTAAAAAAAAAAAAAAAGTAATAAAGAGTTAGGGAAATTAAACACTGTAAGATTCTTACATGGTCAAGATGTTTCCATTCATCAGCCCATTCCCTTTCTGTCAAACGATGATCTACCAATTCATCTTGATAGCCTCCATTTAGACCTATTAGAAATCAGAGATTAAATTTGAAGATAGCAGAGAAAGCACAATAGAATCAAATTCTATCAAGTAAATACACACACTTTCATAATAACTGTAAACATACTACTAAGGCAATGATTCACAATAGGGTGTGGGGGGGCACAAAATGACATTATAACCAACAAAGGATCACTATATTCAGATTATATAAATAACTCCAACAAATCAATTGTAAAACACAAAATAGCCCTAAAGAAAAACAGGTAAAAGAAATAAACAGGTATGTCATACATGGCATTTCATATCTAACATATTGGAAAAATGAAAATGTCACATACTACTAAGCATTGGCAAGGATGTGGTGCAATGTGAATAATTAACTACCCAAACTAGAGTGTGTACTGGTACGACCACTTGGAAACAGCTTAATAGTATCAATAGTTCAAAAAAAATTTTTTTAGGAGGGAATGTTTTGATATATACTGAAATTTCTAGGAATGGAACAACTGTGTGAATTAAGTGTATACCAATAGAACTGTCTACTATTTTGAAGAATTCATGTCACATATACCAACAGTGCTTAGTCTCTGAGTCATTAACCCAACACATCTATTACCAGTCTGAATTTATAGGTGACTGGAATTCATAGTGACTGTATTAGTGTTAGAATCTGTTAAATTTCAGTATATACTGAGTTCTTTGTGATCCCTATAATCTGTCAAAAAAGGTAGCAGTAGTAATAATAATAATAATAATAAACAAACAAACAAAAAACAAAATCAAAAAGGTAGTAATAAAAGCCAGGTACAGTGGGGCATGCCTATAGTCCCAGCCACTGAGGAGGCTGATGCAGGTGGTTATCTTGAGCCCAGGAATCCAGCTTGGGCAATATAGTGAGACCCCATTTCTAAAAAATCCACAAATTTGAAAAAATGCAGTTTTTAACATACTTCTTTCTCAAGTCAAACTGGCAAAAAAAATGTACAGAAGAAACCATTAGCAAGCCAGTTTTTTCCCTTCCACTGTGCTGTTTCCAACCAAAGCAAGCCAGTTTTTAACAGATAAGAGAGAGGCATAAGAGTGACAGGGGTTGAACACTAGGCTAGGTATCGTAACATACTGCCAGGGCATCCTAGCGTTGGGCATAAGACAACTGAGGTATGAATTTTGTCTCTGCCAATTATTAGCTATTGATTTTGGCCACATTTCTGTCATCTTACATCTGTAAAAAGGGATAACAATTGCCTGGGACTCCTGTGAGGATAAAATCAGACAATGTAAGTACAACACAATCTAAGTGGTAGCTATGATTCAGTAAACATTGGTGCTGAGAACTCCATGGGGCTACGGCCTTCCCTATTGAGCTACCACCCCACTATGTGACATCAGGGGTCCCACTGTGGCCAAGTGTCTGAAAGATGCTAGTGAGTCTAAGTCAGAGGAAGCGAGGGCAAATATGTTACAATTTCTTACTCCACAAGGTACCCCACAAATGGAAATGTAGGGAATTCCTGGAAGCTGGCAGCCCTTTAGTTCTCTGCCCTGACAGATGCTCAGCAGTTATACTCCAAAGAACCTTATGCAGAAAATGTGTATGAGTACACGACAAAACACTGTCCAAAACCAGAAGAGGTCTGTCAAGGTTTCTTTTGTTTCTTCCTAAATTTAATGGTTTCTGAGGGCCTATGTCCCAAGTACTCCAAATGGAACAACAACCCAGCCCAAGGGATAGTGTTATCTCCATTTAGAATACTCTTCAGAGGCTCAGAGAGCCCAAGCAACTTGCATAAGATCACACAGCTAGTTAGGATGCAGAGCCAAGATTGTATGCTCACCTCCTAACCTAAATGCCCATGGACTTTCACCTACGAGGTAAAATCTTACATCTTTCTTGCCTAATTTTAAAGCCTTTTGAAAAATTTTTTTGAGGCAGGGTCTTACTCTGTCACCCAGGAGGGAGTGCAGTGGCACCATCATGGCTTATTGCAGTCTTGACCTCTTGGGCTCAAGCAACTCTCCTGGCCTTTTTTTTTTTTTTTTGAGACAGAGTCTCGCTCTGTTGCCAGACTGGAGGGCAGTGGCGTGACTTCAGCTCACTGCAGCCCCTGCATCCCAGGTTGAAGCACTTCTCTTGTCTCAGCCTCCCAAGTAGCTAAGATTACAGGTGCGTGCCACCACTCCCGGCTAATTTTTGTATTTTGAGTAGAGACAGGGTTTCACCACGTTGGCCAGGATAGTCTCGAACTCCTGACCTCAGGTGATCCACCCCCTTCAGCCTCCCAAAGTTTTTTTTTGTTTGTTTGGTTTTTTTTTTTTGAGAGACAGAGTCTTGTTCTCCTGTCTAGGTTGGAGTGCAGTGGCTCGATCTCTGCTCACTGCAACCTCCACCTCCCAGGTTCAAGTGATTCTCCTGCCTCAGCCTCCCAAGTAGCTAGGACTGCAGGTACATGCCACCATGCGTGGCTAATTTCTTGCATTTTTAGTAGAGATGAAGTTTCATTGTGTTAGCCAAGATGGCCCTGATCTCTTGACCTCGTGATCCACCCACCTCGGCCTCCCAAAGTGCTGGGATTACAGGTGTGAGCCACTGCACCCAGCCAGCCTCCCAAAGTTTTTATCCAATCAGTGGAAAAAAGCAATCATGGTATTATTTGACTTTATCACTGAGTTGGAAAGAAATCCAATAATCCAATCTGAATTTACCATGCTGCTTAGATTGCTTACCAAGACTGTGGTGTCTATCACGAACTTCTCGGTGCTCTAGCATCTTGTTGGGTTCCCGATACAGGTGAGAAGTTGCAATATCCTCTAAGGTGTAATGCTGAAGAGGCGGAGGGGTAGGATGGAATTGGCCCCCAGGATTCATGAGGGGCACAGTGAGGGCAGGACTATGCCGAGGAGCAGGGCTGATGGTACATACTCTCTTGGCAGGAGGCTCAGGAGCAATTGTATCTCTATCAAAATTATTTTCTTCTCTCCTGTGGAAGAAGCAGAAGTGCATATCTGAGCCTGTCAACAAGTGTTCATGCAGACATATCCAGAGCACCTACTATGCGTTAGGTATCGTGATATGCACTGCGATAAACAGGAAGACTCTAAGGAAGGCATGACATGAGGCATGAACTGAACTGTCTTCAGGGGCCAAGGGATATCATGTAAACTGCCGACTGATATCAGCCTGAAAAGAGAGGTCAAATCCATCTATAACCAGACAGAAACATTAACCCTCATAAAGCAAAGGAGTGACTAAGGAGATAACAGCATTTTCCTGAGTTATGGGTTCAACCATACTTAGGAAAGTTAAGGTCAAACTTGTTACTATGAAGGTGAGTTACTGGAAAGAAACTACGTGGGAGGAAAAAGGCTCATATAACAAATCCAATTGGGTCTTTTATTTTTTTAAAGCCAGTCAAATTAACAGTGGGTCCAATTGTGTACTGGCAGGGTTTTCAGTGACTCAGATTCAACTGTAATAAATTTTCTACTATTCTTTTTTAAACTTTCTAAAAAGCGTCATTAAAGCCTATCCAATATTATTAAATTATTGCTGCCTTTGATAACTCATAGAATACTTCGATAGCCACTCATAGGGAGCTTTCTAAAATAAATTCATATTAATTTTAATCAGTAAAAATGAGTCACTGGCAAGTATTAATAATTGCCATACTTTTTCAAGACTTCTCACATCAGAAAAAAAATGAGTTTGTCATAAAAATAATAATTCATCAAAAAGAGAAAAAATGCATTTGGCAGATTGTATTTCTTTCTTTTTTTATTTTTTAATTCTTTCTATGAACACATCCAAGAAAAGGTACAACTGTATTTCTGAGGCTTCTCAAACAGGAGACCCATAAATTCTCTAAAGTAGAGTTTCTCACTGGGTATGCAGGCATCTGAAGAGTTTCTGAAAAATGCTCATGCCTAGAAGCTACTCCCATAGATTTTAGATGTATCCTGCAGCTTGGTATTAGAAAAAAGCAAAAATGACCACAGAAAGCCTGAGACATTGGGCTGGGTATGGTGGCTCACACCTGTAATTCCAGCACTTTGGGAGGTCAAGGCAGGCGGATCTCTTGAGCTCACAAGTTTGAGACCAGCCTGGGCAATATGGTAAAAGCCCATCTCTCCAAGAACAACAACAAAAACAACAGCTACAACAAAACCAATAGAAAAACCCCACTAATATTAGCTGGGCATGGTGGCATGTGCCTGCAGTCCCAGATACTCAGGAGGCTGAGGTGGGAAGAACACTTCTGCCCAGGAGGGAGAGGCTGCAGTGAACAAAGATTGTGCCACTGTGCTCCAGTCTGGGCGATACGAGTCAGACCTTGTCTCAACAGACGTCTGAGACATTATAAACACAGCAATCAAATTCTCTTTCTTGGCCGGGCGCGGTGGCTCAAGCCTGTAATCCCAGCACTTTGGGAGGCCGAGGCGGGTAGATCACGAGGTCGAAAGATCGAGACCATCCTGGTCAACATGGTGAAACCCCGTCTCTACTAAAAATACAAAAAACTAGCTGGGCGTGGTGGTGCATGCCTGTAATCCCAGCTACTTAGGAGGCTGAGACAGGAGAATTGCCTGAACCCAGGAGGTGGAGGTTGCGGTGAGCCGAGATCGCGCCATTGCACTCCAGCCTGGGTAACAAGAGCGAAACTCCGTCTCAATTAAAAAAAAAAAAAAAAAAAAAAAAATTCTCTTTCTTTATAAGCAAAGGGAAAGGACAGTATGGTTGCAGAAAGGCAAGGACAGCAAAGCTCACCTCTCCGGACTGGGCCTCTTCCCGTTTCCGTGTACTTCCATGAGCAGCTCTGAAGAGTCAGCAGGCGATGCAATGCTTGTATTGAGCAGAAGGTGTTCATGCTGAGCCAGGTACTGGGATGGGGTCTGCTTGGCTGCCCGAGCGCAGTGCAGCAGTTCTCTCTGCAGCAGGGGCAGATTGGCCTTGAAAGGAAGAGGCAGTTTTCCCAGTGTTAGGCCCTATACAACAGGGCTCAGCACCTCAAACACTTTCACAAAGTTGATGATCCAAGATAAAAGCCCTCTTTTTCCTTGGCAGTCTGATTTTCATATGCTTCTTCTGTGAGTACGACACCTCTTATACTACACTTGAATTACTGGTTCAGTTATTTCTTGCCCCAACCAGATGTAAATCTGCTTAAGGAAGAGACTGTACCTTATTTACCTTTACAGCCTAGTACAGAGTCAAAGTTTAATAAAGGGTTGTTGAACATAATAATTTTAAAACATTTACTTCTGAAGATGTCAGTGAGTGAGATAAGTACTACTGCCTATGTGCGTGTCATTCCAAGCCCTGGTTTCTCTCTTCTGAATCCCAACACATCTCTGATAGTACTACTCAGCCTTCCTTCATGTTCTGTATGAGAGCTGCCACGGAATTCTAGAAACTGTGATTATTATGAAACATGGGAGTTTGAAAAGGAGCATTGGGAGTGATGTAAAATGTAAAAGGATAATTCATTAGATATTTTTCTGTCTCTCATATTTAGAAAACCTGTAATAGGAACAAATCACATTTTAAAACCCATACATCTTTTTTTTTTTTTTTTTTTTTTTTTTGAGACGGAGTTTCGCTCGTTACCCAGGCTGGAGTGCAATGGTGCGATCTCGGCTCACCACAACCTCCGCCTCCTGAAACCCATACATCTTTTAAAGCTCAGAACTTGACTTCCTTCATATACAGAATTTACTTTTCCCATATGTCTTTTATTAAAAAAACCATAAAGTAGAAATTACATTTTTCTCACCAAATTTAAAAGCAATGTAGGCTGAGCTCATAAGCAAAGGCTTAAACCCAGGGGACAAATGAGTAAGTGAAAGGAGAGTTTTAATACATGCAAGTAGCTATCCCTTCACTGAGGGTTAATTTAGCAGGCACCATAATTAGTGACTGTTTTAAAGCAGAAATTGACAAAACCCCAAATGCTAGCCAAAAAGCTGCCATAACAACCTACCTCATGCTGTTTTCCAAAATAACACAGTTAAGAATAGGGAATTTGACTATATAAAATTCTTTTAAAGTCTGTTCTATAACCTCAATCTTGTTGCGACTGTAAAAACTTAATTAAAAAAAAAAAACCAACATCTCAGATCTTTACACTTGTGACATGTCCAATGATGAATAAAAAACATGCTAATTATTTCCTATTAACACAAATTTCACAAATCTTTCTTAATTCTAGAGTCTTGGGGAAATAATTGTCTACCAGATCTGACATACAGAAAGGAGACCAAGATAGAACCAGTACAGCTGTTTCAGGGATCAGGAAGGTGTCACAGACTTCTCAGAGCAGCCAGGGCTTCAACGCCATGAGAACAGAGCCGTGATATAGGCTGTGCGCCTTAGACCTATGCATCTTTTCTTGTGTATCTGCTGTGCTCCAATATAAAGTTTTTAAAAACTGGTATTAGTACTTTAGTAAGATGACCTATATGTCTGATGCTATTACATTTTCTTAAGAAATGAAAGTAAGGTAAAATAAAGTAAAGGGGGCATATTTATTTGGCCAGACAGTAAATTTTTTAGCCTTTGCTAAGAGGCAAAATTAAAGATATTATACAGATACTCATAAAAGAGAGAAAACAAATTTCCATAAATATTGACAAAATTCAAAATACAGTAACAAAGGAGTACAATTTTTTTGTTTTGTTGTGTTTGTTTTGAGATGGAGTCTTGCTCTGTCCCCCAGGCTGAAGCGCAGTAGTGCAACCTTGGCTTACCGCAACCTCTGCCTCCCGGGTTCAAGCAATTCTCCTGCCTCAGCCTCCTGAGTAGCTGGGACTACAAGTGCACGCCACCATGCCCGGCTAATTTTTTGTATTTTTAGTAGAGATGGGGTTTCACCATATTGGTCAGGCTGGTCTCTTAATGATCCGCCCACCTTGGCCTCCCAAAGTGCTGGGATTATAGGTGTGAGCCACTGAGCCCAGCCGAGTACAGTTTTTTTGGAAAATGATTCTAATCATATTAACACATCAGAGAAAACCAAATCCAGGTAACTATGCCGTCTTCTGTAAAAATGTCAAGATCACAAACAGCTGAGTGAGTGTGCCTGACTAAAGTGGACTAAAGACACATGACAAATAATGCAATGAGTGATCCTGAATTAGATCCAGAACTAAGCTCCCTCCCAAGTTTTTCTTTGTTGTAAAAGATATTAGAGGCACACGTGGTGAAGTATGAATACGGTCTATAGATACGATAACAGTGCTGTATGAATGTTACTTTCCTGATGTGATAACTGTATTCAAGTATTTAAAAGCATAATGTCTGTAGCTTACTTTCCTTGACAGAGTTTTGTTCTGTCACCCAGGCTGGAGGGCAGTGACATGATCTTGGCTCACTGCAACCTCTGCCTCCCAAGTTCAAGCAATTCTCCTGCCTCAACCTCACGAGTAGCTGAGACTACAGGCAAGTGCTAATTTTTTGTATTTTTAGTAACGACAGGGTTCCACCATATTAGTCAGGCTGTTCTCTTAACTCCTAACCTCAAGTGATCTGGCCACCTTGGCTTCCCAAAGTGCTGGGATTATGGGCATTAGCCACCATATCTGGTCTTGCAGCTTACTCTTAAATGATTTTTTTTTTTTTTAAAAGAGAGTCTCGCTCTGTCACCCAGGCTGGGGTGCAGTGGCACAATGTCAGCTCACTGCATCCTCCACTGCCCAGGTTCAAGCAATTCTCCTGCCTCAGACTCCTAAGTAGCTGGGACTACAGGTGTGTGCCACTGGCCAGCTAATTTTTCTTGTATTTTTTGGTAGAGACGGGGCTTTGCCATGTTGGACAGGTGGTCTCGAACTCCTGAGCTCAAGCAATCCACCTGCGTTGGCCTCCCAAAGTGCTGGAATTACAGGTGTGGGCCACTGTGCCTGGCCAAAAGCTTTTTAAAAGGATTATATTCCATGTAAAGAAAACACCGCCTCATTGCATTTATCATTTAAGCATGATAATGCAGAACAATCTCTCCAAAAGTTATGGTCTGGAAAACATTATTGCAGAAGACATCTTTAGAAACTACAGTAACTGGGTTTGGGGAGACACAAACACTGTCTTCCTACATCCTCTCCTGACCTTAGAGTAAGTCTAAACAGCAAAGGCCTTGCCTTTTGTCCGACAGCCCTCTTCTCTGGTACCACACTCTTCACGCTCTGACTATACCCAAAAGATTAGTGTGCAGTTATTTCTTGTTAGGAGCTCTACCTCCCTTCTACCTTCACACTTCCAGCCCAAGCACCTCCTATTCTCTCCTATGCTAGCGATTCCTGTGTGTTACCAGCAGTGTCTGCACACAGACCACAACGTTAAGACTTTTGCAGTTCTCATCTCATGAAATCTGTTTATCTGTTGACTGCACTCAGACCTCTCTGACAGCCCCAAATAAAGATTTAAAAATGTGGCAAACTGCTCTGATTTAAATCATGTAAGAGGGATTAGCAGAACGTGAGGAAATACTGAAGATAAATTATATTCAGTAATTATTTTATTGAATTACCTTGAGAAATGGAATCACAAAAGGACGAAGGGGGAAGTTTGTAGCTTCTTGGAGCTTACAGTGGAACTCCTCAATTGTCACTGTTGAGTTCTGAAAAGATAAATAACCTCGTTCAACTTACAAAACTTACAATGCCAAACTTTTTTTTTTTTTTTTTTAACTTATTTCTATCTTTTTCTGAGACACGGGTCTCACTCTTGCCCAGGCTGGAGTGCAGTGGCGCAGTCTCAGCTCACTGGAACTTCCGCTTCCCAGGTTGAAGTGATTCTCCTGCCTTAGTGTCCTGAGTAGCTGGGATTACAGGTGCCTGACACCACGCCTGGCTAATTTTTTGTACTTTTAGTAGAGACAGGGTTTCACCATGTTGGTCAGGCTGGTTGGTCTCAAACTCCTGATCTCATGATCTGCCTGCCTCAGTCTCCCAAAGTGCTGGGATTACAAGTGTGAGCCAACACACATGGCCTTTTTATTTATTTATTTATTTTTTTTTTTGAGACGGAGTTTCGCTCTTGTTACCCAGGCTGGAGTGCAATGGCACGATCTTGGCTCACCACAACCTCCGCCTCCTGGGTTCAAGCAATTCTCCTGCCTCAGCCTCCTGAGTAGCTGGGATTACAGGCACACACCACCATGCCCAGCTAATTTTTTGTATCTTTAGTAGAGACGGGGTTTCACCATGTTGACCAGGATGGTCTCGATCTCTTGACCACGTGATCCACCCGCCTCGGCCTCCCAAAGTGCTGGGATTACAGGCTTGAGCCACCGCGCCCGGCCGGCCTTTTTATTTTTTAAATTTTTAATAGAGATGAGGTCTTGCTACGTTGTGCAGACTGGTCTTGAGCTCCTGAGATCAAGTTATCCTCCTGCCTCAGCCTCCCAGGTTGGTATTACAGATGTGAACTCTTTTAAATTATAAGGAAAAGGATAATTGCAGGAACATTATCATGAACTCTGAGCCTGGCAAAGGTAAACCATACTGGTTTCTTATGACAGAAATTCATGCTCCTTGACTCCCTCACCAACACCTTAAATCCAAATTCTCCCCTCTGCCCAGCAGCCTAGGCTGCAGAATACGGCACTGCCTTTCTTACTACTCATGAAGAAAGACACTCAGGCCCCCTGATATTGAGGGGTTCATTGAAAGTCACTTCAGGCACAGGGAATCAAGCTTACAACATTTCCTGTTACAGAGATCCTGATTCAACCTTGGATGTCAACTTCAAGACATTTTGGACTCAATAACTCTGAGTCACATTTTTTCAAAAGTTCATTTCTTTTTCAAGTTCTGCCCCCCACCTCCTCCTGGCATAACGTTCCCAAATCTTCAAAATAGGAAGTCCAAAAAAAAAAAAAAAAAAAAAGGCAAAAGAAAAAAGAACAATAGTTTGCCTTCTACCTTCAAGTGGCCTGTATGCATTGTGCGTATTAGAGTAACTCCCAACAGGCAAACCCCTAGCTTTTACTGTTCTCTGGAAGGGTGCCCGTCATCGGTGTTTTCTCAAAGGTCTAGGCCTTAAACTAGGAATGGGACTCAGCAACTCTGCTAAGGGGAATGAACAAATAAAAATATTTTCTTCAAAGTTCATAAAACTATGTAGGATAACAAATTAAAACAAACAAAACAAAACAAAATGTGAGGATTATTCTGAATCCCTACATGCTCCCCTGAAACAGCAATTACCATGTCTAGAAATTTACTTTCAGAAACGTTCCAAGTGTTCAAAAACATAGTATGTAACATGCAACTTACTCACAATTACAATATATTTTCCTAACAACAATAACAACAACAAAAGCGGGGGAAACTACAACAGGAAACTACATTAAAATTACAAGAGTCATGTATAAGAACACTTACGGGGGGAGGTGGCAGAGTAGATTTGCATGCATTAATGTGGAAAAGGTATCTAAAATACTGTTAAGTGGAAAACCAGAAACAGAAGATTATATTTTCTGAGAATCCACTTATAAAAATAACATGTATGCATATCATATCATATATTTAATGCCTGGAAGAATAATCACAATAACAGTTATTTCTGAGTATGCAATTATGTTAGATTTTCCTAATATATCATATTTATTATTCAGTAAACATTAAGATATTTTCCTTCAGGGAAAAGGGGTATGTCCAATTTAAACATGTTAGAGGAAAATGTATGAACACTTTCCCACATTTCATACCAAAAAAATTATTTTAAAGTGAACTGTGTGTCTGTTCTAAGTATACGACATTTGCACAATACAATCAAAGAAACCTGTAATTCTGGCAATCAGGAATAAAAATTAAGTGTAAGAGAATGATACTCTTTTATACCTACCACAAAGGAAGCAATCAGGTCTCATAAAGCAAACACAAACAGATTAAATGTATGGAAAGACTACTTCCTGAGTAGCTGGGACTACAGGCATACTCCACTCTGCCAGCTAAGGGAAGTTTATTTACCTATGTTTTTACGCTTACTCTTTTTTTTTTTTTTTTTGAGATGGAGTTTTGCTCTTGTTACCCAGGCTGGAGTGCAATGGCGCGATCTCGGCTCACCGCAGCCTCCGCCTCCTGGGTTCAGGCAATTCTCCTGCCTCAGCCTCCTGAGTAGCTGGGATTATAGGCACGCGCTACCATGCGCAGCTAATTTTTTGTATTTTTAGTAGAGATGGGGTTTCACCATGTTGACCAGGATGGTCTCGATCTCTTGACCTTGTGATCCACCCGCCTCAGCCTCCCAAAGTGCTGGGATTACAGGCGTGAGCCACCGTGCCCGGCCTACACTTACTCTTAACATTTTCATTTTCTGCACATCCTGGTCTGGGATATATCAGGAAAACACAAAACCTAGGGAACTCACTGTTTATGTAGTCCTGTGAGTCCCACGAGTGAATCTGCCCTTTTCTCTCCACCTTTAAGAGTGGTTATCATCTTCTTTTTCTTTTTAAAGAGATGGGGTCTTGCTCTGTCCCCCAGGCTCGCAATCCACCTGCCTCAGCCTCCTAAGTAACTGGGACTACAGGCGCACTCCACCATGCCTGGCAAAGGGTCTAATTATTATTGTTTTATATGTAATGTCCACATGTTTTTACTATTTATCAAGAGGAATAGGGATAAGTATGCCTTTCTATCTTGCCTCTGAACCAGAATGAGACTTGATTTTTAATGACATCATATTCCAAAACAGATATATTATATTTTACTCAGGATTTTACAGACTTTTTAGTTAGTTTCAATGAGGGAGGGGGTACTTAATGTTGAACTGGTTATCTTGGTGCACACTGTTTATCATTTTCTTAGGACAAATGGTACCAGAAACATTGCCAAACATTCTCCAAATAAGAAAGTGAAGCACAAAACATTTACCATTACCTTAAAGTGGAAAATGCCCATGCTTGCCCTTCTGGGTATAGTTAGCGACTCTCGGTACCTTATTTCTTATACAACATGGACACAGAATGCAGACAGGTGAAGTCCACCTACTAAATTACGTGGCCATTATTTTTAGAGATGGGGGTCTGGCTATGTTACTCAGGCTGGCCTCAAACTTTTGGGCCCAAATGATTCTCCTGCCTCAGCCTTCTGAATAGCTGTGACTACAGGTACACACTACCACACCAACTACGTGACCCTTCTTTGACTTGGCTAAATAAAGTTTCTGCCACCTGAAAGTCTGTTCCACTTACATATGCCCACCAAAATCTTGGCCATACTTTTCATAATAAAGGACTAGACATGATGAAGATGCTTTCTTGAATAGGCAAATTTAATGCTATAAACATGTTAATTCTCCTTGAAAAGGCAAATTTAATGCTATAAACGTTAATTCTCCTTGAAAAGGCAAATTTAATGCTATAAACATGTTAACTCTCCTTGAAATAGCAGTTTCATTTATGTCTCTCCAATCTTTATATCCTATTTCCTAGGTTAGAACTTTCAGGATTACACTGAATAGAAGACAGATATCCTTAGGTGCTTCCTAATCTCACAGGAAAAGCTTTCAAAATTTCACCACTAAACATGAGGCTTGCTGTAGAGTTTTGGTTACATGTAAAGCCATCATCAGATGAAGGTAGTGCCTGCTATAACTAGTTTGCTAAGTTTTAAATTTTTCTTGCAATAATAAGTACTGTATTTAACAAACACATTTTGTCTCTCAATCCTCACCCAAATCTATATATACTTTTAATATCAATATTAAAGAAAATATCATTAGGTTAGAGGCGTAACACTTGGGAACACCATATGGCACTCAACACTAAATATGCATATATGTACAACATATGAAACCATAATTCCACTGTGTGTGCGATGCTTCCACAAATGTATAAGAATGTTCACAGGAGCATTATTTGTAATGGCCCTGTACAAAAAAGAGTTAACATAGTAGGCCTAAAACTGCTAGCCTTAGAAAGGCCTACTTGTAAGGTTGGGCCACTGGCTGGCATCTAGGACCCTGGATGATAAACAGTTTCCTACAGTGTTAAAACGTTTCTTAACTGAAAAGGTGGCGGCACCCATGTGTCCACTGAGGGATTAACAGATCAATAAATGTGAGATAGACATAAAATGAAATATTATTCAGCCTTAAAAAGGAAAGAAATTCTGACATATGCTACAACATGGATAAACCCTGAGGACATTGAGCTAAGTAAAATAGTCTAGTCACAATATGATTCTACTTATATAAGGTACCTAGAGTAGTAAAAGGAGACAGAAAGTAGAATGGTTAATTGCCAGGGTCTAGGGAGAGGGAGGAATGGGGTGTTAATTGTTTAACTGGTAAAATTCAGCGAGATGAAGAGTTTTGGAGATGAATGGCGATGATGGCTGTAAGATAATGTGAATGTACTTATCACTAAACTGTAAACCTGAAAATAGTTAACACAGTAAATTTCATCACAATTCAAAAAAAGCAACTGCATAAATTCCTTAACCCTGTGATGCTCATAGGCTCTAGGTACACAATGGTTGAACAGGGACACAATGGTGAACAGGACAAACAATATGAATGTATTTCAGACCACTGAACTATATACTTAAAATATGGTTAAAATGGTATTTTCTGTAATGTATATTTTACTATGGGAAAAAAAGTTAACCCAAGTGTGGCCATTTAAAATAAATAATTGAACATACCTACATATACTTTTCATAACTAAAAAACGATTCACATTTTTTGGAAATCAATTTTTGACATTTTTACTTTTAATCTTGAAATTATTTTTAAAAATAGGTAATACTTGAAGTAATTTGCTGCTGGAATCATCATAACATTTTGATGTCTGCTTTGTTTCCAATTATGTTCAAGCTCATTTTGACATTTAAGGCCAATGACCCTACTCTAGATCCAGTAAGATTTTTCTATAGTAGTCTAAAATTTGAGGAATAAGCAGGTTTAAAATAAAAAAGAACTATACTTTCCCTAACTCATAAGGGTGACTGTGTGTAGAGTGGTTCTGTGAAGAAGACGGTTCATGCTAGACACAAGTTTTCCCGTTAAGAGGGTAAAATTTGGCAGGGGCTAGGCAAAGAATGCCTGTGTGAACAGGTTCCAACAAAAACTTTGGGAACTGAGTCTTTAATAGGCTTCCCTTGACAGAAGCATATACGATGCTGTATTTTTGTTGCTGGGGAAAGGGTATATTCTGTGTTACCATTCGGACGAGGGAGAGAGCATAAGGACTCCACCTGTGTCTCTGTCTCTTTTATGATCTAACTCTGTCTCTTTACTATGCCTCTGTAATCGATCTTAGCTGTGAGCGTAACTGTATGTCGAGTCCTGTGACTCCTTCTGGCAAACTTCAAAACATAGGGGTGATGCTGGAGATGCTAAAACTGTCCCAAATTGCAAATGACTTAAATGTCACATAGTCCAAAATGTAAACTGTAGTGTATTCCTACAATAAAACACTATAGCCATGAAAATAAACAACCTATACTCATAGGCAATAAGGATGAAACCTCACAAATTATAGTCATTTATTGCATTTTGCCTTGTATGCAAGTTCTTTCATAATAGACTGAGAGATTTTTTTAAATTTATATTTTGAGATAAGGTCTCACTCTGTCACCTAGCCTGGAAGTACACTGGTACAAACACAGCTTTCCCGGGCCCAAGGAATCCTCCCACCTCAGCCTCCTGAGTAGCTAGGATCACAGGCATGTGCCACCATACTCAGCTAACGTTTGAAAAATTGTTTTGTAGAGACAGAGTCTCACTATATAGCCAGGCTGATCTTGAACTCCTGCACTCAAGCAATCCTCTCACCTTGGCTTCCCAAAGTGCTAGAATTACAGGCGTAATACACCACACCTGGACTTAGGCCGAGAAATTTTTTAAGGCTGTTTTGTCTCAGAATTCCTCTAATTTATATGGATTGCATTTATTTACATTACCATATCAGAAATTAAAGCTGAGAATTTAAATAAAATACAAAATAACTGTATTGTTTCAGACTGAGGTATGATTTTTAAAATCTGTATTTTCTAAAATAAGAAGAGTGGCACTGTTTTATAATTTATAAGTCTCTTTAATGTCTAGCATAACAGAAATCAGTTGGATTCTATCTACTTTTGTCTTTATTCTACTGCTATCTCCAGAAAGGATCCTGGGGAATCTTTGGGGTCCCTGGACCACACTTGGAGAACTGCAACTTCAAGGATTAGTGCTGTGATTCATCTTTCTATTCCACACAAAGGGGTTAACATACACAGAGGAGCACAGAATGCTTTCACTGGACGTAAATCTTAAAGAATTCAATTAGAAACATTGGGAACTGGTAGTACTTCCCTTATAAACACTGAGAATAAAATCCCACCCAGTTGTCAATGTCAGAAAATTACCCCTTTATACCACAGGTTCACCAAGTGCAGTATAGAAAGAAAAATTATGTGTATCTTGCAAATTCTTAAGCAAGTTTATATGCACAAGGAGCTGAACAATTCAATCCCTTTGATACTATTTATTTAGTCCACAAAACTTGTAATTTTACAAATTATTGTTTTAAAAATTAAACTTGCTACTTCCCTACTCTCCTTGATTTGGAAACAATGCACTAGGCACTGAATATATGAAATTGCAAAACCTTGCATTAACTTGGTTGGACACCAGTGGGCCTGTTGAGACCAGTTTTAAGAAAAATCCAAAGTTGCTTATGGGAATTAAGAAAATATCACTGACTGTTTCTTTGATAAGCATTGATATAAAATCTACAATTAAACATTATGCCTGTAACCCCAGCACTTTTGAGAAGCTGAGGCAGGCAGATTGCTTGAAGCTAGGAGTTTGAGACCAGCCTGAACAAGACAGGGAGATCCCGTCTCTATAAAAATAAAAAAATTAGCTGGGCATGGTGGCACGCCCGTGTAGTCCCAACTACTTGGGAGGCTGAGGCAAGAGAATTGCTTAAACCTGGAAGATCAAGGCTGAAGTGAGCTGGGTTTGCACCACTGTACTCCAGCCTGGGCAACAGAGTGAGACCCTGTCTCAAAAGAAAAATCCTACAATTCAACAGTTTTATACAAGTTATTCAATAATTAGTCTGGTCTGTAGCATCTGCCATATTACTATGGGTTTGAAAATGAGCAGAAATATCTAGAACTTCTCTGCTGGCTTTGGATCTAAGCCACATACTCAGGCAGCTGACAACAATAGTGAGGCTGTACTTACCACCAGTGCAAGAACAAGAGTCCGCACCTTCTCCCCAATCTCAGGGGAGATGTCATTGCCAAACTGTTGCAGGGTGGTAAGAAAGCGTTTCAACTTGCTGAGCTGTCGAGCACCACAAGTGGCTGGCAACTGCTGATTTGTGAGTGCAGATGATGTGGAAGAGGCAGGACCATTGCTGAATCTCTGTGGTGGTGATGGGGCGCCATTGAGGGTAGGAGGAGAATGGTTGATTCCATTGCTTACTAAAATAAAGCCAAAATGAAAGACTCAGGTTACGTAAACAATAGGACCTTTGTTCATTTTTTCTTGTTTGTGTTCTCCTTCATTTGTTCATTTGAATTTTGTAAAGTACATGTTATAAAAGTATGTAAAACTTGTTCTGTCCTTAATGAGATTGCTGTCAGATAAAAGTGATAACAGAGTAACACTGGAGTTTTAAAAAGAAAGCAGAGTGCTCCAAGAGCAATAAGGGACATCTAACTCTACAGGTGCCATGGGCAGGGGTGCACAGTTTTAAGAAAGACTTCCTACAACAGGTAGTACTTGAGATGGGTCTGGTCCAATAGCTCTTTCCAGTGATGGGATACAAATATCCATCTTTTACATCACATCTTCTTCCCAATTTCAAGATCCCAAAAACACCAGGCAGTCAATCAGAAGGTAGCATGTGAGCAAGACACCAGAAAAAGGAATTATGATAATGTGAGGGATATTTTTTAGGCCTACTGATTTAATGATTTGTTCCTACAATAAGATACCCATCTCTTTGGCCATCCAGAATACTCATGTCCATTAAAGCAAGTAACTCTCTGACTTACCGGTGCTAGATTAATATGCCAAATCCTTGGTCATTCAATAAGGCATCTTCCTGATTCCATGCAGGACACTCCCATCCTACATTTTTGCTCAAATTATAATACATTGATTAATTAGTTTTCCTATTTTGTTCTTAATAGTCATTTCCTGATAATTTTAATTTAGAAAACAACGCTAGAGCTATGGTTTTGTTTTTTGAGGTAGGGTCTCATTCTGTCATCCAGGCAGGAGTGCAGCAGCACCATCTTGGCACATGGCAGCCTCGACCTCCTGCACTCAAGTGTCCCTCCATCTCAGCCTCCTGAGTAGCTGGGACTACAAGAATGTGCCACCATGTCCGGCTAATTTTTTTTTTTTTTTTTGTAGATAAAGGGGTCTGACTATACTGCCCAGGCTGGTCTCGAACTCCTGGGCTCAAGCAATCCTCATGCCTTGGCCTCCCAAAGGCTGTGATTACAGGCATGAGCCACTGTGCCTGGCACTGAGCTATGTTCTTGTTGGCACTGAGTAAAAACCTAATTGATCTAGTACATAAGTGTCATTCTGTTTTCACTTAATCATATTCAGCTTTAAAAAACTAAGAAAGTGAAACTGTATCTAAAAACATACGAAACAATATAGGACTTAAGCAATATTTAAACAGTTAATCATTTAATCTTTACCTAGCTTAGAAAAATGACATTTAATCATATTTTGCCAAAAAAAAAAAAAAAAAACCTACTAATCATAAAAATTCCTCCACTTCCTTTCTACTTCCTCTAAGCCAGTCACAGTTAACCATCTCTGTTCCCTCTTCTTACACTGAACCTTATTCATGTTTGACCTGGCAAGCTCTTTTTCATTCCATATAGTTCAGGTATTATCTCTATTAAGGAGCATCCTTTGACACATGCTGCTGCTGCTCCACTTGAAGGTCAGCCTTAGTGGATTCACTATATCTCTGTGCTGTCTATGTGCATGCTTCCACCATTTTACTTCCCCAAATGATGCTTGTTTCTTTCCCTTTTTTAATTGAGATAGAGTCTTGCTCTGTTACCCAGGCTGGAGTGCGGTGGTGTGATCTCGGCTCCCTGCAACCTCTGCCTCCAGGGTTCAAGCGATTCTCCTGCCTCAACCTCCCAAGCAGGTAGGATTACAGGCTCACACCACCACACCCAGCTAATTTTTTGTATTTTTAGTAGAGACAGAGTTTCACCATGTTGGCCAGGCTGGTCTCAAACTCCTGACCTCAAGTGATCTGCTCTCCCCAGCCTACCCAAGTGCGTGAGCCACCGCGCCTGACCTATGCTTATTTCTCTATTTTTGTTGCCTAATACACTACACAACACATATGTGCATACTGTAATTAAGTTTTATAAACTGTGTATACTGTGTATATTTTTGCTTTGTTCATTTGCTAGCAAAGGGTAAGTGTTCAGGAAAATGCTGCTGAATGATTCACTGTATAAAAGGCTAACAGGCTGAGAAAGGTGGTGAATTTTCTTCTGTGTCTTCCATTAAAGGAAATTACTAAAGCTACTAGAAGGAAGGTTCAACACTCAATCTCAGCAATCCAGAAAATTAGTTGCAATGGTCTGCCATTTTTTTGTTTTCACAGAAAGGTCAATTGTTATTGGCAAGCTGTTCCCCTTTGAAAGAACCCATAAAAATAACACATTACCATGCTTTTAGCTACTCTGGTGCACAGGAAGGCTTTTTCGTAGTCTCTTTAGTAAAAACTGTATGATCACATTTTCTGAAATGAAACATCCACCTCCAAGCAGCCAAATATGGAAGTGAAAAGGGCTGCATTTATATATACATGTACCTATGGGTGTATCTTGAAATCTGATTGATGGCCAAGATTTAAATCTGTTTCATTTCAAGATAGTATATATGTCTAGGTCTGTTTAACTTTGAGATAGAAATTAGAATGTAAAAAAAGAGATGTTGTACTTCTTTTCATTCACTCTGGCTCAAACTGAATGCTGCAGTTGCCAGCTACTCAATTTCAAATGTTTTGGGAAAATAATAAACTTCCAATTAACGCTGTACATCTTACATTCTCTTACACAAAAAACACAAAGTTTTGAGCAAGGACAGTGTGCAAGCTTGTGTAATAACATTTAAATAAAACAATACATATAGCATCTAGCTCAGTCCTCTGACACTTTTTGGGTATTCTACAAATAGCAGTGCATTCTGGTTTAGAGGCAAAAGCTCTGCAGAGTGTCAACGTGAACTGGGGGCAGCAGCATGCGTATGGAAAGGCAAAACTCAAATGAAGATCAAGACACGTATGTGCACAGCTGGGCGTGGTGGCTCATGCCTGTAATCTCAGCACGTTGGGAGGCCAAGGTGGGTAGATCACAGGGTCAGGAGTTCAAGACCAGCCTGGTCAAGATGGTGAAACCCTGTCTCTACTAAAAATACAAAACTTAACCGATGCCTGTAATCCCAGCTACTCGGGAGGCTGAGGCAGGAGAATCGCTTGAAACTGGGAGGCTGAGGTTGCAGTGAGCCAAGATCACGCCACTGCACTCTAGCCTGGGTGACAGAGCAAGACTTCATCTCAAAAAGAAGAAAAGACAAGACATACATGTGCATGTATGTATACCAGATTTTAAGGTGAAGTTTATTTGGGGTTATTTTGGTGATTATCGATATACAGGACTGAAATCGTTCAGTTACAGGGTACGTGGAAATTCAGCATTAGTGCACACTGCCAAACAATTTCCAAAAGTAGGTGTACTAAATTACACTCCAACTAGCATTGTATGAGTGTTCAAGTTGCTCCATACATCACCGAAACTTGGCATCATTTTGAACATCCCGGTGCATGTATAACGGTATTGTATTCAGTGCTAGTTTGCATTTCCTTGATGGTTAGTGAAGTTGAATATCTTGTTACATATATTATTAGCTAACATAATGGTTACAGACTGAATTCTGCCCTAGTCTTGGCCAAATTCACACACTGAAGTCTTAACTCCTTGTATATCAGAATATGACTACATTTGGAGATAGGGACTTTGAAGAGTTTATTAAGTTTAAAAGAGGTATTATGAGTAGTCTCTAATCCAATATGATTATTGTCCTTATAAGCAGGGGAAGAGACACCAGGGATGCACGCAAATGGAGGAAAGGCCATGTGGGGATTTGGTGAGAAGGTAACCATCCGCAAGACCAAGGTAAAACCAAACCTGCCAACACCTTGATCTTTACATTCTTCCTCCAGAACTGTGAGAAAATTAATAAAAATAAATTGTTTAAACCACCAGTCTGTGGTATTTCATTATGGTCGCCCTAGTAAACTCATAAAACAATATCCTCTTTTGTAAAGAGCCTTACCATGACAGTACTAGAACATTTTTAGAATTAATTCTGTAATTCCAGAAAACTTATTTTGAATCCCGGAAGTCAATATAATAATTTAAATTCATTATTGTTAGAGTCAAGGAAATAAAAATAGTTACCAGCCAAAGAGCATGAAAACAAAATATTTAAACAACTAAATATCCAAATAACTAAGCTAAGTATTATTTGCAGAGGGTCTAATTTATAAAAGAAGCAACCAGAAGTAATATATCTGTGGCTTTGTTTTCAATAGCACTTTGAAAATACTGAATAATATATACGAAAGGCTTCATGCAAGTCAATCACTTAGATCCAAATGTCACTCTGAACTACAAACACCAGTAACTAAGAGGTCTCACATGCTGTAGGAGTGAAGGACACTGGCCTCGGTCCTCCAGGATTTATTGGTGGGAGGGGTGGCATGGTGGGAGGTGAGGATCTGGACTGTATCTTCACTTCTACGGGTGATCCAGGCATTGCTGGCACCCTTTTCTCAGGACCAACTGCAAAGAATAAGAGAAACGGAGGTTAGAGTTTTCTATAAGGTTGCAAAAAACAGACAACAATTTGAAATATCAACTTATTTTCCTAGAGGACTGTGAATATACTTAGTATAATGGGCTGAATAGTGACTCCCTAAAAGATATGTCCAAGTCCTAACATCTGAAACTGTGAATGTTACCTGATTCGGCAAAAGGGTCTCTGAAGATGTCATTAAGTTATAAACATCTTAAGAGAAGGAGATCATCCTAGATTATCTGGGTGGGCTCTAAATCCTACCTGAAAGGTGTCCTTAAAGAAGAGATGAGACACAGACACAGACACATATACAGAGGGAAGCTGATGTGAGGACAGTCACACTAAGTGGTGACAGAGGCAGGGACGAGACACAGACACAGACACATATACAGAGGGAAGCCGATGTGAGGACAGTCACACTAAGTGGTGACAGAGGCAGGGACTGGAGCGATGCATCTACATGCTGTGAAGTACCAAGGAGTGCCAGCAACCAGCAAGCCAAGAGGGAGCAAGGGACACGTTTGTCCTCTGAAGTCCTGGGAAGGAATCAACCTTGCTGATAACTCAATTTTTGGCTTCTGGCTTTCTGAACTGTGAGAGAATAAATTCCTATTGTCTTAGGCCACTCAGTTTGTGGTACTTTGTTACTTCAACCCTGGCAACTAAAATGAGGAAACAGGGTCAACGGGTGGCGTGAACTGAAAGTTAGCAGTCTCTAGATAGTGGCTGAGAAAGGAAGAAACCAGGTTACAAATGCAGCTTACCTCAAATGCATTTTTTTTTTTTTTTTTTACTTCTCCTTATAAATGAATTAAATTAGTAGGGGGAAAAACTAATATGGGAACTATCTAGACCTAGGCCTCAACTGTATGACATGAAAATAAAATCATAATCAGCTGTATATAAATCACCATTAATAGGCTAACTCCTGTGGCTAACTCCTGTAATCCCAGCACTTTCAGAGGCCATGGTGGGCGGATCACCTAAGGCCAGGAGTTTGAGATCAGCCTGACCAACATGGTGAAACACAGCCTCTACTAAAAATACAAAAATTAGCCAGGCGTGGTGGTGGGCACCTGTAATCCCAGTTGCTTGGGAGGCTGAGGTAGGATAATTGCTTGAACCTGGGAGGCGAAGGTCATAGTGAGCCGAGATGCGCCACTGCACTCCAGCCTGGGCAACAGAACAAACCTCCATCTTAATAACAACTCACCATTAATAGTGACGTACTAGATTTTATATCTATAGCTATACATATATATATATATATATATATACACATACATACACACACACACACACACACACACACACACACACACACATATCAACTACATCAAGTAGGAAAAAAGAGGTGGAGCCAACCTCTCTGACTTCAAGCATGTAAATGTCACTCATGCTATTTATTGTTCAAAAAGATGAAAAGTACAGCTGATCCTACATTAAGTAGATGCTACTTCATCCATGGGAACAATTAATAATAGGCAGCTGTTGGATAATACTAAATGCCAACAAAATTCCAGAAAGATAAATTAGATTAACTTCATGATGTTACAATTTGGTAGGTCCGAGCTAACAGGAATCAGACTTGATACCAATGAGTGATATTCTAATATATCTAAGAAGTTATTTTTTCCTATCAAAGAGAACTCTTTACATACTTGGTTAATAATAGGACCAGGGCTACCATAATCACCTTTAAATTGTGCTATGCTCCCCACAGTAATTCTAAGCTTTTCACTTAAGTACCCGACATTCATTCTCCAAAAACTACTGAATTCAAATTAAAGTGCAAAAAATGGGCAGCAAAGGCTCAAATGAGAATGTTAAGTTCCATTTTCTTTCTGTGAGAACACAGCTATAAAGATAACACATACAAGAGTATTCACAATCCTGGCAACAAGGAACATCTTTGTGCATTGATGAGACCCTTTATAATTAAAAAAAGTATCTCCAAACACTATTTTTCTGTTTCAGTTTGCAGTGGCCATATTTTGTAAAGGGATATAATAAATAAAGTCAATCAAGAAAGCAATGCCTCCAAGTTACAAATCCACTGACAAAAATGTGCAGTTTTCAGAACCATGTGGGCAACACTCTGCCAGCCCTTCCCATCTCTCTGTTCAGGACATTTTCTTTGTGAAATTGATGGTCGTCCTATCTGATTAGTGGACTAATGAGCTGTTGCGCTTGCCTTTTCTTCCTGGCAGTATTTTCTCTATGCCCTTCAGAGAACAGTTGACACATTTCCAGCTCTTCCATCTGGGGCTCAGCTTTCTGGAGGGGTGGGGGAGAAGGAAAGGAAGGAACTGATGGTTGTCTCGCACTGTAATGTGTTGTGTACAGTGTGCAACAACCTAGAGGGAGCCTTTCTTTAGACCACCTGGCTCTATAGCAAGGGTGCCAAAGGCTTGAGGAGGTCTTAGTAGTGAGATGAGTTTTAACGTTCAGCACTTGGGAGAATAAAAAAGTTAGAACAGCCCAACTGCAGAACACTGAATTCTGTGCTCTTACCAACCAAAAGCTTTGATAGTGGGCAAAATCCACCTGCTAGAGAACTGTTTACACACTGATACTTTTCGTTTCACCACCCAAAACCTACAACAGTAGTGTTTTCTTCATGTTCCAAGCAAATAAAGCAGAAAAAGCACAGGTATGAAGACTGAGAGATTTGGTGTGAATTCTCATTCTGTTACAACGCATGTGAATTTTACCAATTCATTTCACCTTTCCAGGCCTCATTTTCAACGTATGTAAAATGAGTGACAGTAAGATCTACCTGTCAGGAAACATGTAATGATTAAAGATGATGCCTATATCAGTGCAAGGCATAAAGAAGGTGCTTAATAAACAGGAATGATGATTAGAATACAAAATTCCTGGTGTCAAATTCTGGACATACTATTAACTAGGTATGTGACCACGACCAAGTTAATATTAACATCCGTTTCCTGTGGAAAATGGGTATACTATCAACAATGTATCCGTGTAACCTCAGAGATATTGTATGGAATGACCCAAGAATTAATTGCTGCAAAATCACCAAGTACAATGTAAAGTCATATTTTTGTTGGAGGATAGGTGCCATGAATGCCATTCATGGAGTGAGAGCTATCCAAGTGGTCTATAAGATGATATATTCAGCAGCTGCTCAGATGATGGGAAAAGGATATGTTCCAAAGTAGGCATTTTAACCCACTGCTTGGGGTCACAGTAGGATTATAGTAAGTCCCTGTAGGAAGAAAGCTATGACATGCCTTTATGTCATCCTAGTCACGGTGACTTCCTTTTTGAATTTTTATGAAACTGATGGTTATGTGTTATATTCTAGCTGGATCCCATGAAAGAACCAATCATATATTGAAGTCTTTTCAATCTCAGAGAAGAAGAAATTCCTTTCCTTCAACTGTGGCTTAAGTTCATAAACACTACTGCATAGGATATCAAACAGCCATAAAGATTTAGTCCCTGCTTTGAATGGATTTTACAACGTAATTAAAGAGAGAGAGAGAGAGAGAGAGAGAGAGAGAGAGAGAGAGAGAGAGAAGATTTAGTCCCAGGAAGCCAAAATAACCCTTAGTTTTGTCATAAGTGTCCAACTCAAATCTAAATTCAAAGTAACTGACAATTTAGTCACCCCATGATTTTGTGTTTTGATTATTCTGAATATATTTGTGTATGTGTGTGTATTACAAATACATGTGTGCATATATGTGCATATATTAAAAAATAAAACACAGATATGACCACATGTATTACCAAAATCACTGACAGCTCAACACCTAAACCATGGGGAGCCAAAGAACTTGAGTAAAAATGGAAAAGTATGTCTGAATCATTTCTTCACTGTGTGCAATTTGCTAGGGATGTCATGAAAAAGAAAACAGATGAAATAATAAAGTAATAAACAGCTCCCTGTGTGACAGCAGTGATATTTTTTCCTACATAGGAATTTAAAGAACCAAATATGAAACTAAAGGGAACTATTTTGTAGCTTCACAGAAAAGTAACATTGAACAACCAGCAGTCTTCCTCTCATCTGCAGTTTCAGTTACCTATAGTCACCTAACGTCCAAAAATATTAAATGGAAAATTTCAGAAATAAACGATTTATAAGTTTTATATTGAGCACCATACTGAATAGTGTGGTAAAATCTCATGCCATCTCACCTAGGATGTGAATCATCCCTTTGGAGTATACACCATCCGCCCATAAGTCACTTAGTAGCGTCTTGATTACCATCAGATGAACTGTCGTGGTGTTGCAGTGCTTGTGGTCAAGTAACCCTGATATTACTTAATAATGGCCCCAAAGTAAAAGAGCAGTGATGCTGGCAATACAGATACACCAAAGTGAAGCTGTAAAGTACTAAGTTAAAAGGTGGAGGCTCTGGACTTCATAAGGAAAGAGAAAAAAAAATCATATGCTGCAGTTGCTGACATCTACTGTAAGAAGAAGGAAAAAGAAATGTGTGCTCGTTTGCTGTTGCATCTCAAACAGCAAACGTTACAGCCACAGTGCATGATACAGGCTCAGTTATGGTGCAAAAGGAATGTATGTAGGGTTCGATACTTCCCATGGTTTCAGGGATCCACTGGGGGTCTTGAAACATACTCCTTGGGGCTAAGGAGGAACCACTGTATTACAGACAGACATCCCAGAAACATCCTACTTGAGAATCATCATCTACGATAAACTGCCCACAAACAAGGGCATTTACAAATCATTATGAATTGCTTTTGAGGGTTTTTAAAAATTAGAGACTGGCAAAGAGCAGAGGTGTAAATACAAGATGAAAAATAATGCCGTTATCTGAAGGGAAAGGCTACTCCTAAGCAACTGGAAAGAAGAAAAACTTATAGGTCTCAAGGAGAAAGCATGTTGAGGCAAAAAGTGAGCCCGATGTGAAGAATGCTCCATCACTCACTAGTTATGTGACAGTGGTTTTCTTTCTCTGTCCCTGGGGATAATTCAACACAGTTA